TTACTTATAAAGTATGTAAGATAAAATATTTATATATAAGTTAAATATAAATGTATTATATTACATAGTTTATATAGCAATTAATTTATATTTGTTTTTATATTATAGGTAATATAAACTATAAAATATAGTTTTTATAATATATCATAATCATTTAACTATATATTATATACAATTTGTATCCAATAAATTTGTGTGCATATTATATTACAACACGATTACAACAATTGTATGCAAACACAATTAATGCATACAAATCAAACTCTGAAAAATAGTAAAATATTAAAAATAATAATATATGTCCAAGCATAGTATACTATGTAATACAATACAGTATATATATATATATATATATAATATATATATATATATATATATATATATATATATATATATTATACATATATATATATATATATATATATATATATACATATATATATATATATATATATATATATATATATATATATATATATATATATATATGTATATAAATATATATTATATATATATATATATATATATATATATATATATAAATATGTATATATATATATATATATATATGTATATATATATATATATATGTATATAAATATATATATATATATATATATATATATATATATATATATATATATATATATATATATATATATATATATATTTATATATATATATGATACATACACCATTGGCCATTAATTAGAGCATTCTTACTTATATATCCTGTTTGCTTAAAATTACTTTAAAAACTAGTTAGCTTTTTAAATATTTTATTATTTCTAATTAATAAGTATCGTGTTTTTTATTTAATGGACAAGTTGTTACCATAAAATTTCATTTGTATCCCTAATTATATGTAACTTTATAACATCGACTATATTTTTTTAAATTTTTTTTGTTCGTTAAAAATTAATGCTTACTGCTTTATTTTTAAAATTAATGTAATTTTTTTTTTAATAATTTAATTTGATTTTCATTAGCATTTATTAACTCTAAATTTCTAATTTTGAAATAGTACTGATGAAAACACAAAGAAATTAGATATTGAAAAAGCCTCATAACGAGTGAAGTAATACAGCATGAAACTCCAAAACCATGGTTGAGATTCTCTGAAAAAACATGTTACAAATCTATTTTTATTTAAAACCAAGTATTATCTCCTCGTCATATAGCCAATAAGTTAAATATTGAATATTCACATATTTGAAAACCTTATACTGAAACAGATGACATTATGGATCTGGATAATCTGGTGGGCAACACAATGAGATAAACGTTTTTAATTAATAAAATTAATTTGCTTGATGAAATACGACAGCAAGTGGTGAAATGTTATATTCTCAGACAAAATGAATGTTGAGGTAGATATGCAAAAATATGTTATTGCTTCGTGTTCTGCTATGGCGATCACCTCAAGAGTAATTTGATTTGAATTGTACATGAAAACCAACCAAGCAAGGTAATGGCAGTGTAGACTTTTGGGCCTACATGAATTATGCAGGACTTAAATGCAATTAATTATTTGAAGGTTGACTTAATGCTGATAGAAACATTTAAATTTTAGATAATTGCCTTCAATCCTTATTTAAGAAAGGTAGATCTGCAAAATATTGAAATGCTTTTTTTATGGTTTTTCTTTGGTAAATTATTGTTTTAATATATTATTTGAAATATATACTTAACTTTAGTCCGATTGTTTTTTTAAATTTAGATAAAATGTTTAATTATTATTATTTTTTTTGGTATCTAAATCAATATGTTTAGATCTTTTTTTGAATTTTCATAATGCATATAGATTTTACTTGTATTAAAAAAATAAAAGCATTTTAGTTTTCGATTTAGTTGATTTTGAATTTAATGTTTTATAAAAAAATCGTGACAAAAACAATGTGTGCTCTAATTTAAGGCCTAAAAAATCTTACCTACCTCAAAAAACTAATTTAATATCATGTTGTGGATATATATATATATATATATATATATATATATATATATATATATATATATATATATATATATATATATATATATATATATATATATATATATATATATATATATATATATATATATATATATATATATATATATATATTAGGCCCCTGCTAAGCCTAAATATTTTGAATCAAATCAAATAAGTGATTCAAGACTTGACTCAAAAAATCTCTATTTATTTGAATCAAATCAACCTGCTTTTATTAATAGTTTATAATGAAATTAGCTCAAGGTCATATCATTATAAATTTTCACGATCTTGAGTAATAACATTATTAGAATGTTATTACTCTAATAACACGAAGTTGTCTTGGAAATTTCAAGATACATTAAAAATTTTTTTTTTTTAACTAAAATTTAATTATGGTCATGCTTTGGTCAATTCTAAATGTTTTGCAAAAAATTTCATGAATTGTTAACAAAATTTCCCCTACAAGCTAACTGCCTCTGCCAAAACATGATGACAATGACTTGATAAAATGCTTAGTTTCTCTATCTAATACTAAATAAACCTTCAGTTTTTCAATTTAATTTATTTGTATTATTGTGCCTAAAAGTTATGACCATATAAAATTAACAGCCCCCTCGATTTGATCAAACTTTGCTCATTTAAATACTAAAAAAATATTATAAGGTATTTTATTAATTATTTTAGCAGATAAATAGTTAGAAATGGAAAAAACTTTTAAAATTCGAATGTATTTAAATATGAAATGATTTTAACAAAAACAAATAGTAAATATATTAAAAATTGTATGTTAGGCCGACTTCCATGGGTCTAACATACATACGTATTGAAATTCATAATATATATATGTATATAGATATATATATATATATATATATATATATATATATATATATATATACATATACGTACATATATATATATATAGAATATATATATATATCTATATGTATATGTAGATATATATATATATATATATATATATACATAGATATATATATATATATCTATATAGTATATAGATAGATATATATATATATATATATATATATATATATATATATATATATATATATATATATATTCTTTAGTTATGACTAGGAGCGTTTAAACTATTTATTTATAGAATGTAGAACTTTGTTTTGTTTTTTATTTGTTTATCTCTCCCTTGACTTTTTAACCACAATAACTGCAAATACCTATATTGCATCCATGCATATATTACATACATATTTAAATATGTACGTAATATATGCTTTAATAATTGATAAAATATACATACATCTATTATGTATGTATGTATTAATAAAAACAATCCTGCCTGCCTGTCAAAGACAAAATTAGATGTGTTTTTGTTAATTTTAATAAATTAGCAAAAATACATCTAATTTTGTCTCTGTTATAGCACTCTATTTTTAAAATACACTAACATACATACGTATTGAAATTATAAATATATATGTATATATGTATATATATATATTATATATATATATATATATATATATATATATATATATATACATATATATATACATATATATATATCTATATATATATACACGCATATATCTTTAAAAGTCATTTCTTGTTATACGATATATATATATTTATATATATATAAATATATATATATATATACATATATCCTTAAAAGTCATTTCTTGTTATACAATATATAGATATATATATATATATATATATAATATAAACATATATATATATATATACATATATATATATATATATATATATATATATATATATATAGATATATATATATATATATATATAAAGTTAAAATATACTATTGTTAATCTATTTTTACATCTAAATATATTTTAAAATGGTTATACGCTATCTTTTTATTATAATCAACTTTTACATATATATATATATATATATATATATATATATATATATATATATATATATATATATATATATATATATATATATATATATATATATATATATGTATACATAAATATGTATATATATATATATATATATATATATATATATATATATATGTATGTATATATATATATATATGTATATATATATATATGTATATATATATATATATATATATATATATATATATATATATATATATATATATACTCACATCAATGTAATTATGTATTGTGATTATAGGGTAGCCTAGCAACAGCTTACTAAAAGTTAATGTTAAAAAAAATATCTTTTAGTCTTGAAAAAAAATTGAATACTAATATCAGTACATTCATTATATCAGTAACATTCTAAGAAAGATCAACAGTTCATCTATCTGAAAAAGTTAAAATTTAAAAATTTCTACGCTTAAAATTAAAGACTGTTTCAGTTTACCTTTAACAATTAAGCAAGATTTTTTTATTTTTTATAATAGTTAAACAATGAATTTATTTGATAATAGCTATCAGAAATATATTTTTCTAATTTTTTTTTTGTATAAAAAGTAACAACAAATTACTAAAATTTAAATAAGTTCATCATTTGTCGCGATTTTTGTAAACTGTAAGAAGTTTTTTACTATTGTATTAAATGTCGTATGATAAAATATTTTATTGTTGTTTTTATTCCTTTTACAATACAAAATTATCTCTAATATTTCAAAAGTTATAAATGTTTTAGTAACACCCCCTAAGTCAAATTTTCAAAAAAAACAAGAAGCCGTAAAGCTCACTCTGAAGCAGCCGTGACCTGTAAATGTACTTTTGAATGTCCAGTGCATACGTCTTGTAAACTTTCATTCCGAACGTTTTTTGTACGTCCTTAAAAACGTCTTTGGTAAGTTCACCTCGTAAACAAAACTGAACTATTTAAAAACTTACAAATCAGACATCTTTTAAATGTCCGAATTGGACGTCTTTTGAACGTCTCCCCAGAACGTTTTCGAGAATTTTATCTGGGTACCTAAAAAGAACCACGTCTGAACGTTCCAATTAGACGTCTTTAAAAAGTTTTTTGAACGTAAGAATGCCGGCTTATAAAGCTTAAATTCTAATTATAACTTAAAAAATACCTCCAAATATAACTGTTAAAGGAACTTTAATAACATCCGACATAGCTATCGTAGCTTCACTCATTACGTCTCTAGTAAACGAGTTACTGTTAGTTTCCAGCACTAAAAGATTTTTTATTACAAACAATACTGCTATAATAACTTTTATAACAAAAAAAATACTAATAAAACAAAAATAAAACAAGGACTACCCCAGTGGGCACACGACGTTATTTCGACGTTGATTTACAGTTGATTTTTAGTCGCGACGTCGTATAACCAAAAATCAACGTTGTATCAACGTTGAAAAATTTGTTTAAAACTATCAAATAAAATCGACGTTGATTCCACGTTAATTCAACGTCTATATTACGAGTTCGATCGTTCGTAATTGCAATATGATAACTAAAATACGCATGCGTGACTTAAAATTTTTTTATCAACATAACAAATAACAAGTAAAGACTTAACAAGTTACTTATTAGCCCAATAAAAACAAGTAAAGTCACACATGCTAATAAATTAGGTCATCTGTTGCCTTTTTATAAGGTTTTGAATTTGACAATTTAACAATGATACATGGCTTTACTTGTAATGCAGTTAGTTAGGTAAATATTAAATGGATATTTCTTTATGACCGTATTATTTCATGAGTGTAGATTACAAGTAGAGACTACTTGATATATTATATAAATATAAAATATATATTATATATGTTTTTCTTATTTATATAACACATATATATATATATATATATATATATATATATATATATATATATATATATAAATATATATATATATATATATATATATATATATATATATATATATATATATATATATATATATATATATATATATATATATATATAAAGTATATATACTTATATTATATATACTTATATTATATATGTGTATATTCATATATAGTATATGTATATATTATATATGCATACTATATATATGTATATATATATATATATATATATATATATATATACATATATATATATATATATATATATAGTATATATACTTATATTATATATACTTATATTATATATGTGTATATACATATATAGTATATGTATATATTATATATGCATACTATATATATGTATATATGTATATATATATATATATATATATATATATATATATATATATATATATATTATATATGTTTATTATATTATATATGCATACTATATATATGTATATATATATATATATATATATATATATATATATATATATATATATATATATATATATATATATATATATATATATATATATATATATATTATATATGCATATTATATATATGTATATATATATATATATATATATATATATATATATATATATATATATATATATATATATATATATATATATATATATATATACATATATATAATATGCATATTTAATATATACATACATTATATATGTATATATACATACATAATATAAATATATATAATGAATGATGTTTTACAAAATAATGATTTATCAAGCTTTTTTACTAATCCATGTGATTTAAAGAGTTTAAATATTTTTTATATTAAAAAATTTTTATTAAATTTTTAAAGATTTTTCTTGTAAAGTTGTATAAAAAAGAATTTGTGAATGCTTCTTTAGTCCATTATATTGGTAGAAAGATCAACATAAAAATTTAGCAAACTTTAGCAACTGTATAATGTATCATAACGTACAGTTTATAGTTGTATTTTTCTGTTAGCTATTTTACATGAACAAATTTTTAATATATAAGTATTTTTTCTATTATAATTTCTACTATACTTTTACAGTTGAAAAAGTATAGTAGGGCATGCAAAATGTTCATTCAAGCTGTTGGATAGAAAATACAGAAAAATAAAGAGAGAAAATTCGATTGATAATTTTTTGTGCTGCTCGTCATCTTTAAATGTAATAAATTGTTTCAATGAAATGCATAAACCGCATCTAACTAATACAGATTTAAGCTGCTCAAAATTTAATGTCATGGAGATAAGGTAATTTTTTTTAAATATAAATCTTAAGTCATTACTTTTTTTTCTTGTTTTTTTAACATGCTTTCATTCTGTATATGTTGTTTTCAGTGTTTAGATATATTCTTTATTATATATTCTTTATTTAAAACATTTTTAAATTGAATGAATATTCTTAGATCATGAGTTATGTAGTAAATTTGAATTTGCCTCTATAAGTGATACTCAGATAGAATCAGGTTCAGAAAACAGTAAATATTTCAAAAGATACTTAATTCAAGTATTATTAGTTATATTTTGATATTAATTATTATAGGAGCCACTACCATGCTTATGCAAGAGAAAACATAATAACCAACAGAATAGTAAGCAAATACCTACTCCTGTAACGCAAAAAAAGAAACAGAAAACATTTTTTATGCATTTTCCCCATACTGTAGCTCAAGGTATTAATTGTCTGTCTGCAAGTTGATTTAGGAAGAAAAGATTCTGAACATTTTTTTCTATGCTTCAGTGATTTACACATTTCTTTGGTTGCTAAATTAATACATTTTGTTTAATTTATGAATAATGTTTTATTTTATAAATTTTTTGTTCTTGCGTTTCAACGCTTTTTGAAATTAATTAATGTTTGGTTCTTTTGTCTTGCTGATATATCTTTATTGTTAGAAAGAGATGTTAGTAAATACTCTTTCCAGTAATTAAAGTAATATCATGACAAATAGTTCTGAAATTCTTATGGATAACAGTTTAAATGATTCTTGGGTGAGGTCAGAACTGGTAGGTTGTTTCAAACCATGACTTTTTGCAGTTTTTATTGTTTTTTGATTAAGTATTTATTAATAACTTAGCCTAAGTTAATCTACTTGTAACTTTTTATAAATGTACTATAAAAGTAATGTGGTGTAATTATTTTCTTAAACCTTTAGGTTAACAAACTTTCTGAAATTGGAGGTAAAACCATTACGACAAATACAAATACATGTGATGCAAAGGTTTGTTAAAAGGAGTTTTAAATAAAAAATCTTTTGAATCTTTTTTATAGTTTGTTTTAAACTTGTGTTAAAAATCTGTGTAGCATATATTTTTAAAAGTTTGACGAATTCTAATCAGATATAAAATGAATCTTTTTTTTTTATGTCCGATTATAATTTTTTTTGTAACTGTTTTCTCTTACTTTTGTATTTCCTTGAGCTAAAGAACAACCTTAAAGTACAAAGGTTGATTTGTAACGCATACTTAACCTTTTTTTTTACTCTATATATACATACATATATATGTACATAAATAAACATACATATATATGTATGAATATATACATACATGTGCTTATATGAATATATATATATATATATATATATATATATATATATATATATATATATATATATATATATATATATATGTATATATATATGTATATATATATATATATATATATATATATATATATATATATATATAGTATATATATATATATATATATATACTATATATATATGTATATATATATATATAATATATATATATATATATATATATATATATATGTATATATATTTATATATATATATTTATACATACAGTATTTATATATATATATATATATATATATATATATAAATATATATATATTTATATATATATATATATATATATATATATATAATATTAATAGTGCAATTTAAAGTTTTTTCTTGTATTTATAAAGTTGTACTTGATAAAAACAAATAAATAAAGATGAACATTTTGTATGTTTATTGATTATTATGATAAATTATATAAAATACAGTCATGTGACAATTTATTATGGCCACCCACAATTTTTCAAAATTATCAAGTTTCAAAGTCTATTATTTTAGTATTTTTTGGTGATTTATGTACTCAAAGTAACTTTTATTTAAGAAATGGGTATTTTTTTGACAAATAAAAACATTTAACATATTGTTTATTATTTTATTATTAAAATATTATTAAATAAATTTTATTATTCAAATTAAATAAATTTTATTATTCAAATATTACTGCAAATATATTCAAGATCAATATTTGTGATCAATATATTCCTCCTTTGCCTCAATATTTGCAGGAGCCCTTTTTGGCATACTTTTCATGCATTTTTGAGCCATTTCCTTTAATTTTTATTATAGTTCCAATGTTGAATAATTCTTTCTATTAAATACACTTTATTTGTAATAATTTTTTCAGATATTTGCTTCTTTAGGAGCGCCCAAACATTTTCTATAGGATTTAGGTCAGAAGAGTTTCCTGGCCAATCAAGTAATGGAATATTTTGTTCTGATAGATATTTTTCAACTGATTTAGCTGTGCGACATGGTCATGCCCTGTCCTGCATGAAGGCTTTTTTTCACCTGGACTAAACTATTCTGCTAATTGTGACAACAATCTTTGTTCCAGCATTTTTATATTGTAACTGTAACATTTTTCATTCTGCAATATAGAACCTTCCTATTTCTTTTACACATTTCATTGATCAGATCATCACAGAGGTGGAGTGTTTAACAGTTTGCATGATGCAGTCCAATAAGTATTTTTCTCCCTTTTTTTCTTTTTAAAACTTAAAAGTACTCTCGCCGCTAAAGCATACCTTCAAATATTATACAAGGATTGTTAAGTAAATATTGAATGAATATTTAAAGTTTGGTGTAAGAAAGTGGGTATTTTAAATTCATCTAAATTAATTTTATTAATTACCAATCATATGTTAAATTCCTATACTTTTTTGTCCACTAAAGCATTTTATGTACAATTTTTGGTGTCAGTTTAGGCTTCTTAGCTGGACGTCGTGAAATGTAACCAAGATTGTGTAGGCAATGTTGGACCGTTCTCTTCAACATTTTGACTCCAGATTGGCCCAGCTTATTAGTTATTTTGTTGTTGGTGGCCCGTCTATTTTCTAGAACAATCTTGGTAAGTATTCATTTCCTGCATGGTGTTAGGATTCTCTTCTTTCCACATTTACCAACCCTCTTTGGCATCAAGTTCTCCATATTAGCATTTTTTTGTGTATATTTTGTACAGATACCCGCGAAATACCATATTTTCTGGCTATTTTTCATTGAGAATGATCAGTATTTATTAAAAGTGCCCTGATTTCAGCAAT